AGGTAGCCAGATTTTGAATAAAAAGAACAAAGCTTAGAGCTAAACAGTGTATTAGAATTCAGCAGGACTAGATTTTAGTATAATTTTATTAAAAAAATGCAATAAATTGCATGAATGCAAGCAGCTATTCAGTAATAATTAATATACAATAAAAATTATCTGAAATCGGAGCTGGTTACTATTCAAATAGCAAATACTTTAAAACAAGACATTTTTTCATCATCAAAATATCTACCTGCAGAATTTCCAGAAAATCCTTTTTATTTCACTACAGGTGAAACCATGTTCGCTGCCATAAAGTAAGGGGAAATACGACTACCTGTGAAAGTTAAAAAGAAAATTACAATGCCCAAAAAATGTATTTTTATTTATAATAAATGGTCTTTCGTTCATTGAGTAATGTGGATTTTGATGCATGACTAAGAATCTCAATATAAGTTACAGCTTTTTTGTGTTTGAAATTTTTATAGCAATGAATATATAAAAAAAAAACCCACACAAAATGAATGGTAAAATATACGATTAACCCCAGGCACCTAGCTTTGCCATTAAGTGATAATTATGTAAGTTTTCCATAGATATTTTTTACAGTTTTCTGTGCTTTCTATTGATTTTTTTTTTTTTAGTATGCTAGTATGTTATTTGTGTGAGTATGGGAAGGTTCAAAAAGAGTCATCTTTTTTTAAAAAAAAGAGTAAGAGCCAAATCTTTTATATGTGCTTTCATAAAAGAAGGGTAATATGCCTATTCTTCTTGGTATGAAGACGAATAATTCCCATTAGCCATTCTAGCAGTGCAGTATCTGCACAGAAGGGGAAATGGACCCTTTCTGACAACTTTTCCCCAAAAAAATCAAGCAGGTGATTGTTTTTGTACTCCTTGGAACAGTTACTACTTGAAGTAGACTAACTCTGACATTAATTGATAAAGTAACATCGATAAATAGATTAAAAACAGTAAGCATTTTTAATCTTTTTATACAAGCTGTAATAATCTAATACTATTTTGAGTCATATAAAATAATTATACAGTTGTACACCACTCCGATTAGCCAAAATAATTTATTGAGAAATTGTTTTCTACATGTATGTTTATATGAATATATTGTAAGTAAAATTTAATGAATGTTTTTCTAAATTATGTCAAAAAATGTTCAAATTAAGAGGATTCAAAGGTATCAAAAACCAGGGCCTTTTTCCACTCTCACACCAAGTTTCTCCATTGCTCGAAAGATAACTTGTGAAATCTTTGGTAAAATATTGCTTTGAAACAATATAAAGAATGTCAGGTTTTCACTTTTTCTTTCCTGAAGTTTATAATTTAAAAAATAAAATTTAAAATAAATCAATATACTATCTTTTTTGCACAAAGATAAAATCAGTGTTATCAAATGGTTGGATTAAAAGCAATAGCAGCTATTTTTACATTAAATTTACAATAAATGAAAATCACTACATTTAGTAACTTGCTTATGGTTTCCAGTTCAACTGTCATACTCAAATCTCTGACTTGAATTTATATGCTTGATTTGGTTTTTAGTCCCACCTGGGTTTTTTTAATACTAAGTCTGTATGTGCATAAGCATATTGGCTTATTTGTTCCTAAAGTTACCCTAGGTCTGCTATACAATGCAATGGTAAAAAAACAAAACATGAATAGTCATAACATGCTACAACTCTGCCTGTTTATCTCAGTGGATGGATTTTTTTTTTTTTTCCTGTGGTAGTCCAGCATTAACAGTCTGGGAAATATTATAAAAGAAAGAATGTGGCTTACATATGTACTTCAAAATAAGTATTAATCAGACTCTTCCATGATTATTGAAATTTAAGGCAGACTGTGAAAATAAAAGTAACATTCACTGAAGTATAATATTTGCAATGGCAAAAAGAGCCCTGTTACACATTCACTTGAATAACCTTAGGATAATAATATTAATAAAAGATGTGTCTGAAATCAGTACATTGGTTAGTTTATTTCTTTTATTGATCTCTGAAAAGTTTCAGGTTGCTTTTTTATGTTTCTATCTATGCCCTGAGGGTTTCCTAACAAAAAATAAGGCAAGTCTGTTTAATCATGAATTGTATCCAAAAGGCACTGAACAGGTAATTGTAACCCACTTCCAGGAATGTCATGAAATGTTGCCGCTGGTTGTATAATGAACTTCTATTTATGTCATTGACGGTAGCTATAATCTGACAGGGAAAGAAACCTCTTTTTTCTCTGATTTCATTTTTGCATGAAGAAAAAAAAAAGAAGAGAAGAATAAGGTGTTATCAAGAAAAAGAAACAATGAGAAATTTTTCTTAATGCACATGTGGAACTGTATTTGCTTATACACTGCAGTTTTAAGGCTGCAATGTAAGAGTGTGCAATTTTACAGGAATTATGGAGAAAAGTTAAAACTGAGTGATTGGAAGAAAGTATTAAAACCAACTAGCAATAGGTCAATATTAGCATATTTTGTGTCTGGGGAAAGGCAAGTTAACATACATGGCATTTTGGAAGCAGTCACGACTTGACAGGTAGTAAACCACAGGCTAAACTCAGGAAGAAGAGAAAATCCTATTCAGAATTGTATGCTTTACAATACAAATTTTTATGGATCACCTATTAAATTTCTTCATTTGATAACCTTTATTAAAGAGTCTTTTAGAAACTAATCCCATTTGCCATTTTCAAATAAAACTTCCCTTGACCTCAATGTCTGAGCGTATACTCAGTTAAAATCTCCACTCTCTGACTTATTCAAGTTGCTGTATGCTAGCAAAGCATACAATTGAACTGGATTTCATATCTCTCTCCCAGTAAGAATCACAGAACAGTTTGCTTCAAAAACATTAGCAAATAATTATTGCAAAACAAACAATAGAAAATTACTACTTATAGCTATGGACTTGTGAACATCAATGTAAAAATAACCATATATTTAAAAACTGTCTACAAACATACCCTACAATGGTTCACTGTTGTTTCTACCTAAAATCATTTGTCACACTTGTTAAACGTGCTTTCTAATCTTGATGGAGACTTAATCAAATTGCCTATTCCAAGAGTCAGCTCTACAGAAAAATGTTTGTGTAATGTAGGACAGCTTTAGGATCTGTTATCCAGGTAGATGCCATCCAGGTAGCTTGCTTTCCCTCTGATAAATAGAAGAGTCTACAAGAAGTTTCCTAGACAGGGTACTCTGAAAAACGCAGATCAGACAGGATTTGAGAGTGAAATAGACTTCCTGTAGATGGCGAAGTAGTTCCAGGAGCTATAGCAACTTCTGTGTACAGAAATGTAATGTAATTAAAATCTTCATTTTATCACGGTTTAAATTTGATAGTTCATTCCAGTTTAACAGAAAAATTCCCTTAGTTATTCCATTTATTACTGGCATACTGTTTTTGGAGATGATTACTATGCCGATATTTTTCTGCTATGATCTTATCCAAATGAACCTCTTTCTGTATCATTTGCAGTTAGCTTTGTATCAGATCAATCACAAGATGACTGACAGTCATAAGGAAGGAACAAGAAAAATTATTTTAATAAGTTAAAATAAAAAGTACAGTAACAGATTCCTGTAGAGCTGAACACAAACCACAAAAATATGGATATTATCTGTATGAATAAAGAGAATACAAGATACAGATGAGAATAAACCTTACAAATAGACTGAGAAGTGTAGGCAAGGGATGGCATAAGAAGAATTTTAAGAAAGAGGTAAACATGTGTTGTGAGTTAACCCTGTCTAATAGTCAAATAAATGCCCATCCAGCCAGTCACCCACTCTCGCCCTGTGACACAGGGCCACAAAACACAACGAGAAAGATGATGGATCCAGATGAAGACAGGAAGATTGCTTATCAAGTACCTTCTTGAGAACAGACTCAACTTGAGGAAAATTAATTGAATTTATGGTCAATTAAAACAGTAGTAGAAACAAGAGTAGTGAGAAATTAGAACAAAAATATTAAGATGTTGCTTTCCTTCCTCTTTCATAGGCTCAGCACTCAACTTCACTCCTCCACTTCCAGCTTCAACACCTCCTACCCCAAGGGGCTCAGGGGGATGGGAAGCAGTCAATAACAATTCCCGTCTACTTCTCCTTCCTGCTCATATTTTTCCTCTGCTTCAGTACCTAGAGTAACTCCTTCTTCTCTGACCATAAAACAAGTTCCCTCTTCTTCCCTCTCCTGTTTTCCAGGTTTTTTTTTTTTTCCTCACTCTGCTCACTGGCATTTCCCCCCATCTTAAATGCATTTCCCTGAGGTGCCACCACCATAGGTCCCTCCTCACAGAGGCCCCTGCAACTCCCACTGCCAGTGCCAGGGCACCTGCGCCCTGGACAATATGTAGTAAAAGTTGAACAGGTATAATAATGATAGGACTGAGACAGATGTAGTGATGAAGCATACTGGCAGATTTGGAACAAAAAATAACAAGTCCTCTTAAGGTTTTTTTTATGATTAGTGTATCAAAAAGATAAACAGCAACAAATGTTTTACATAGGAGGCAACCAAGGTAATCGAAGGCTAATAAGTGCCAGTGGCTATTTTTAAACCTATTAAAAATGGGTCTGTAGGTGCTATGAAATGAATGTGTTTCTTCGTGCATCCACACGGAAACAAATATCTCAAACACAATGAAGACAAAACAAAGGAGAAAGAAAACATGCGAAAACTTCTGACCAATAAGATCAATACATCTGTTTTCAGTTCTTCCAAAACTCTCTTGATTTCCACAATGATTTGCTCCATGCTTTTGTGTTCTTTAATAAAATTGTATTTTATTAATAGCGGATAAATAACTAGGACATATTCCCTGGTATATTTTGTAATTATAATACCTGTGAGGATGAGAGAAATAGGAAGCACACCTTTTTTTGAAAATCATAGGAATATTTAGTTTTCATGCTTATTGAGAAAAAAATTAAAATTAGGAATATTAGGCTCAAGAATACGTGAAAAATCAAGTGGTGACTTGAAATGTTTTTATCTTTCCTGCAGAAAATAACCTCTTATGGAATTTTCAGAACTTCCCCTGACTGGCAGCTGCTGGAGGGCAAAGACTAGGTCCACAGTCAGACACCTCATCTTTTAGGTCAGATAATTTTTTTTAGATTCATCATTTAGATTAATTCACTTTGTTATTGATCAAACATAGCTTTAATTTTATAATTTTAAATATTAATATTGTTTATTGTTCTGAATTCTGATTTTTTTAATCAAATGCCATTCAGTAAAATTATCTGAAGTTTATTAATTAAGAAGGTAAAGTCAGATTATTTAACATATGCCAAGTGATCCCTTTCTCCAGCAAAATTTTGGGAATAAATTTTTTCATATACAGAAAATGAAATCTTTATTTTTGCTTTCCTGTAATCTGTCATGCACTGGCTTTGGGGGAACAGTTTTCCAAATAGGTAAAGGCTGTTTAATTTTGTTTCTAAATAAAAGGTAATTATTGTCCAGGTCTGCATCAGCCATTTAAGATTTAACTTTTTCCTTGAGCTATGGTTTGCCACAGACTATCATAGGAATGATGAAATATAATAAAAACCCCAAATTTTCTTTTGCTATTTCTAAACTATGAAATCAATGTAAGTTATATTGTAGGGTCTACCATAGGATATATAGAGATATCCACTGTTGGCTCTGGAGGAAAATGCTTCAGGAATGTAGTAGACTGATGTTTGATGTGAATTTACCACCTAAAAATATCATAAAAATACTCTATTCTTATTGTAAATCTGACTTGATAGGAATTACACAGTGCAACTTCAGGGTTTATATGCCTTTGGTTAGGCAATTTCCATCAATAAAGCACACACTTTGGAAAAAAAAGGTAGGTTTTCCACAGGAATAGATTTTTGTTGTGATCAGCAGTGATTTATTCCTGAGGCATAGCTTCTCTCCCAACTCTGTTTTACCTCAGGTTTCTGTCAGAATCAAGTAGTTTCAAACCCTACAGTAGAAATTTAAGAGGTGGTTCAAGCAGAATGGTTTCTCTCAGTATTTGATTGTTGGTAGCCGAGATTTCTGGGTATGCATTTAACTTCCTTTAGGTATTTATAATGTCAAAAAATATGGCATATAAATAACAAGAGATTCTAAGAATAGTGATCTTTATAATTACAGTGCTTAGCTGTCATCTTCTCAATATGGTTGGAAGATCATCAAACACATTTTCCAGCCTGGCCTGAGGTCCAATTCAGCTCATCATTATTTTTGACTCTCTCTGCCTTTTTCCCATGCACAAGTGGAAATAGCTGCCCAAGTTATGTTTTCTTCTGCTTTTTTTTCAAAGCCTGACAGAAAATCAAGCTTCCAGTGGGCAAATAGGGTTCTTCTGCCAAGGGGTTAGCAAGCAGTTACTGAGAAAGACATGGACAGCAGGCATCGCCAGGAGGGTATTTCTCAGCATGGGGGAATGACAATCAAGAAAAATGTCCTGAATCAGAATTGAGGACATGGATTAACTATTTAGAGGTGAGATTCCTATGTGAAAACTATGCAGGCTCTTTATAGGCTATTACTTAAATGCTGTAATCTTGTTCTCAAGGGGTTTTTCTGCATACTTTATTAAAAGGGCTTATATTTTATGCCTGGACACAAATTCAAATGCTTCTCTAGTACCATAATTTACTTAAATTGATAGCTAAATGTGTTTGTCTTTTGATTGTTCTGTTCTGTTTCTTACATAGTGTTTAGATAATCTATTTCTGTGATGTACCAGGTATGCTTTATCTAATAAAATTCTACAATATTTAGGTATCATTATGCATGTAGACAGATTGCACATATAGAGAAGATGCATGTATAGAACAAGGTGTGACTAATATTTAGTCCAAAGTATTAGCTTTTGTTCTATAATGCGTTAATATCCATCAAACTAAATTATTAGTAACATTTTAGTAGAATACAAGGCAAATACGTGTGTAACAATGTCACAGGAAATAATATTATCTCTGTCAGAAGTTTGGTTTGTATGAAAACAGGAAAGACCTTTAATAAATGGAAGACTTATCCAGCAGTAATCTTAGAGTAAGACAAGAAGGACACTCATACTACTGCAAATATTTGTCAAAGCTGTCTGATTCATCCTCCATGGACAACAAATGCTTTTAAGAATTCCCTGTGATGCATGTGTAAAATATCAGCTTCCCAGTTCCCACTGCTATCAGTCAGATTCTTCTACATCTCAGAATCAAACCCAATGGCAGTAGCTTCAGCCTTTTTTTTATCAAAAAAGAAAAAAAAAAGGATAAATTTAGCTAATTTAGAATATGCTTTCATGAAATGAACCCAATTAACCTGACTGTAGTACATTTGATATTATTTCCAAGTCCATTCAGTGAAGCTTGTCACTAGTTTAAAATTCTATATCCATTTGGGAAGTATTAAAAAGTGCTTAGGTTTGCTTCATAATAAGTCAAATTCCCATTAAATTGCTGTTTTAAGTCTCCTTCAGCTATTTCTTATATTAAAAATAATTGTGAATTAAGTGTATGAGAAAAGAAGAGAATGCATTTTTTCTTAATCATTTTTTGTTCTTCATTATCCATGTACATTAATGGAGTTTTAATTTGTTGTAACACCGAACTTTTACACTTCATTAAATCTATGTGCCAATAATTACGGGCCTTATTGATTTCTTGTCTTTTTAGCTATTCAAGAGCTCTTCAGGGTTTGTCTCCCCCTGGATTGTTTTTCTCACATTGAGATGTCGCTGCTAATCTTTCAAAAGAGAGGTTGAAAACATTTCAGCTTTCTGTAATACATTCTCATCTTCTTTACCATGTTGCAATTAATTAGATGAACTCACAAGATTTTTTCCCATGCATAGAATAATTTAGAATTTTCTATGATGATTTTTCTTTAGCAAAAGATTAAAAAAAATCTCAGTGGTCTTACAATATGCAACAGAGTACATTTGTAGCACGACGATTTAGTTTTTTACATTAATTCAGAGCAAAATAACCCAGTCAGACAGATAAGGATTACACAGATAAGGATTAATATTCAAAACCAAGGAAAGGATTTAAACTGCCAAAACAGAATGCAGGTATATAGTTCCCTATATACAAAGCACTGATTTCTTTTAGTTTATTGACAACTTAATCATGTAAGTGTCTAAACTCACTAGGCATAGCTGATTTGACCTAGAAGCTTCATAGAAGTACAATTACATATTGCAAAAGTCTAGAGCAAATCAAACCCAAGCATGCTGGAAATTAAACTTGTCTACAGCATGTGAGATCTAAAAGCTTGACAGAATAGAGCTGTTTCTTTTGGAGGACTTAGAACTTTTTAGGGCATATTAACATGCTAAGATTACTGTGTGGTTTTGTTACTACTTTTGTGTCCTTTTTTTGTGTTTTTGTTGTTGTTGTTGTTGTTTGTTTGTTTGTTTTTGCTTGTTGGTTGGGTTTTTTATGTTATGTAACTGTGTAACTCAGAAAGATACCTCACTACAAACATGCATGTTATCTAACTTCTACTAAAGTGTGGAAGTATATCACTTTGAAATGTAAGTATATATTTAGCAAATTTACTGAGGACTGAAAATTCTTAGATCTGCCCTTCTTAACCTAAATCTTCATACCCAGTGCTCACGACCCTTACTTTTTGAACACAAGTCTCCTTACCTGTACACTTTCAAATCCCAGGCTATCACAAAATCCGATCTGTCCTTTCTTAATAATTAAATCTTTCTGTCAATGTTCAATCAGATCCTTCCATATTTTTTTCTTTCAAATCAAATCAAGAAACAATTGCACCCTGATACATTCTCCAACCCTGATATTTCAGGTTAAAGCCACAGAGTAGTACAGGGCTCTTAAGCAAAAGGTAGGGAAATGTGTTATGAAATCTCACACTTGTATTTCAAAACTCCGTACTGACTGTGTTTTGATACATAAACCAGCATTTGATTTCTTATGAGGTAGATTAAATCAGTATTCAGGATGCATTTTCTTTAAGTTCTATAGAAAATGCTGTTTAATGCATTGAACAGATGCAACTTCATGGACTCAGTTGATCATCACATATGGAATACTTGATAATAATGGCATTGTATTGCTTAGGACAATGGCAATGATGTCTGATATCATTTGCCCAGGGCTGCCCCTTCAAATCCAGCCCAGTTTACTAGTGTTAGAATATCGTCATTTTACAAATACCCCCATGCAGTCCAGTATTAAGTTCCTTGTCATTCTCAATTGTTTCCCTCATGGACAGATATGCAGATCATAATTGGCAGTTTTACCGGCAAATCAGAAGAGGTCGAAGACTGAGCAATAAGGGAAGATAAAAACTCTGGTATCTTTAGATGCCATTTTTCCTCTTTGTGTTTTGATTCCATGTGGGCTAACAGTTGAGAAGATAAGAATTTTCTTTTGAATGTACATTTATCCACTTCATTCCCACAGCCATTCTAAAGAAATTCTCACTCTAGAGCAATCAGAAATTATATGAATAAGATTAAAAATCTTTCTGAATGTTAACAAGAACTAAGTAAGATCAAATGATTATTTGGTCTTCAAATCAAGTGGATATTGAGCCCTACAGAGTATAATAATAGAAATATTAATTTTTTTAATGCAACAAAAATATTGCCTTTTTTTCCTCTACAACTCACAAGGAAAAGTAAGAGATTTTAAATTTTTCAAATGGGGAGATTAATAGAGATTTTTTTTTAGATGGGATTTGTGCTTTAGCTTACTCCACTAAATGTCACATTTCCTCAGTTTTCAGAAATCAAAACACACAAGAAAATTCCAGAAAATCCAGGTAGCCAGACAAGACCCCAGTGGTGCTATATTTATAATTAAACTAGAAACACTGATAGGTGTTTTTTAAGAAAACATTTTTAAGAAGATATCTTCTTTAAGAGGATTATTTTCAAGTAATTATTTCTCCATTGTTTTATTATAAAAATATTATAAAGACAATATTATAAAATTACCTGAAGTCAATGGATTGTCACACCTGCTATTTCTTTTCTACCTATGAACCTAACTGTCCTTAGAAAGTTGGAAATTAGATTGTACCAAAATATTTATAGAGAAACATGTGTTGGGAAATATAGTGTTTTATTATCCTATAAGTTATCATCATGGCTGGGCTTTGCGAACGAAGATTTGGGAAGGCTCTATCCACAATTGCTACAGGCACGCTGGTGGCTTATGAGGCCAATACGTGACAGACATATCCGATTGCAAAAGGCACAGCAGAAAGACTCCTTAGATGGTGTATTCTGCAATACACGGTTCTTTCTGCGTTACCTTTTCTCCTCGAGGGTGATCCTGCATGTGTTCTCAAAGGAGACAGCTGCATTATAGATGGTGTGTCTTCCAGGCCTCCCGATTGGAGGCCAGAGTAGACCAGTTGTGGTGATCAATATGGCCAAGGCTGAGATGTTGTTTCAGGGAGTCCTTGTATCTTCTCTTCGGGGCTCCTCTCATGCGGCAGCCGGTGGCAAGTTCACCGTAAAGCAAGATCTTAGGGAGGCGGTGGTCCTTCATCCTGGAGACGTGCCCTGCCCATCGCAGCTGTGTTCTCATCAACATGGCCTCAATACTTGTGATAGCTGTTTGCTCTAAGTAAATATATAAATAATGTCTCAATATTTTTCCTAGTATTATCCCCCTCGTCAGAACTGGACTGTCTGATCTTTAATTCACCAGGTACTGCTTTTCTCCCTTTATTAATGAGACATACTATATCTTTTCTTCACCTAATCTCAGTGTTCTCTTTCATACAAGAATCTTTCTAATCTCCATAAAATGTAAGAATAAAAATTCAAAGATAGGTTGGGCTTCTTTTTTTTCAGGATTCATGGGTAAATTACTATGAGATCTTTATCTTTAAATAATTTATTAGAATTGGGTTTAATCTGTTCTTTCTTCTGGTATCTATTTCTATCCTTTCAATCTTTCTTTTTTTTTTTTTTTTTTAATTCTCATGTTTATTTTGAGTGTCTGACCATAGCATTTTCTGTAAAACAGAGAGGGAAAAAGGTTTCCGTCTCCCTCCCTGATAGGTAACGGAACTAGACTTTCTTTTTCTCTTCTTCTTAGTGTGTACTGTATTATCATCTCTAATCTCTACGTTTTTAATGTTCTCAAAGAACTGTAACTCTTTTTTTCTCCTTAACATTCTGACTTTATCCTTGCATGCCTACTTGCCCTATATCTTCATAGTCATCTGTAGTAATATGTGATTGCTTCTATTTTGTGAATGACCTTTTTGATTTCAGTGTCATCAAACTATTACTGGAGCAGTTAAATATACCTCTTCTTATGGCTTACTCTTGTCTATGGACTGAATTCATTAGCTTTTGTATACCTCCTGAACCCGTGCTGTGTCATGGCCCCATCCCCCCTTCGGATCGTGGCATATGACGCCCAACATGGCACATGAACCCACAACCCTGAGATTAAGAGTCTCATACTCTACCGACTGAGGGACTGTGGCACAGCACGGGT